GGATAGTGATGATATATATATAATCTGCACAGACAGACACACAGTAGCTGATACATTCTGTACCTGTAGGATAGTTATGATATATATAGTCAGTACAGACAGACACACAGTAGCTGATACATTCTGTACATATAGGATAGTTATGATATATATAATCTCTAAAGACGCACAGTAACTAATACATACTGTACCTGTAGGATAGAGTTATGAAATCTATAATCTGTACAGATAGACAGTAACTGATAAATTCTGTACCTGAAGGTTAGTAGTGATCAGCTACTGTGTATGTGTCTGTATAGATATATATATCATAACTATCCTACAGGTACAGAATGTATCAGCTACTGTGTATCTGTCTGTTTAGATATTTATATCATAACTCTATTTTACAGGTACAGAATGTATCAGCTGCTGTGTGTCTGTCTGTACAGATTATTTATATCATAGCTATCCAACAGGTACAGAATGTATCAGCTACTGTGTGTCTGTCTGTGCAGATTATTTATATCATAACTATCCAATAGGTACAGAATGGATCAGCTACTGTTTCTCTGTCTGTACAGATTATTTATATCATAACTATCCTAGAGGTACAGAACATATCAGCTACTGTGTATTTGTCTGTACAGATTAGTTATATCACTACTAACCTTCAGGTACAGAATTTATCAGTTACTGTCTATCGGATATTTATATCATAACTATCCTACAGGTACAGAATGTATCTAAACAGACACATACACAGTAGCTGATACATTCTGTACCTGTAGGATAGTTATGATATAAATATCTAAACAGACACATACACAGTAGTTGATACATTCTGTACCTGTAGGATAGTTATGATATATATAATCTGTACAGACAGACACACAGTAACTGATACATTCTGTACCTGTAGGATAGTTATGATATATATAATCTGTATAGACAGACACACAGTAGCTGATACTTTCTGTACCTATAGGATAATTATGATATATATATATAACCTGTACAGACAGACATACAATAGCTGATACGTTCTGTACCTGTAGGATAAAGTTTTGATATATATAACCTGCACAGACAGACATAAAGTAGATGATACATACTGTACCTGTAGGTTAGTAATGACATAAATAATCTGTACAGACAAACACAAAGTAGCTAATACAATCCGTGCCTGTAGGATAGTCATGATATATATAATCTCTAAAGACACACAGTACATCATGTACTTGTAGGATAGAGTGGTCATATATATATATAATCTGTACAGACAGACACACATTAGGCAATACATTCTGTACCTAAAGGATAGAGTTATGATATATATATATTCTATACAGATATCCAAACAATAACTGATATATTCTGTACCTGTAAGATAGTTATGATATAAATAATCTGTACAGACAGACACACAGTAGCTGATCCATTCTGTACCTATAGGATTGTTATGATATATATAATCTGTACAGACAGACAGTAACTGATACATACTGTACCTGTTGGATAGTTATGATATAAGTAATCTGAACAGACAGACACACAGAAGCTGATACATTCTGTACCTGTAGGATGGTTATGATATATAAAATCTATACAGACAGACACACAGTAGCTGATACGTTCTATACCTGTAGGATAGAGTTATGATATCTATAATCTGTACAAACAGACAGTAACTGATACATTCTGTACCTGTAGGATATTAATGATATAAATAACCTGTACAGACAAATACACAGTAGCTGATACATTCTGTACCTGTAGGATAGAGTTATGATATATATAATCTGTACAGACAGAGAAACAGTAGCTGATCCATTCTGTACCTATTGGATAGTTATGTCATAAATAATCTGTACAGACAGACTCACAATAGCTGATACATTATGTACCTGTAAGATAGAGTTATGATATAAATATCTAAACAGACAGATACACAGTAGCTGATACATTCTGTACCTGTTGGATAGTTATGATATAAACAATCTGCACAGACAGACACACAGTAGCTGATACATTCTGTACCTGTAGGATAGTTATGATATATATAATCTCTAAAGACACACAGTAGCTGATACATTCTGTACCTGTAGGATAGAGTTATGATATCTATAATCTGTACAGACAGACACACAGTAGGCAATACATTCTGTACCTATAGGATAGTTATGATGTATATATTCTATACAGAAAGCCACACAATAACTGATATATTCTGTATTTGTAAGACAGTTATGATATATATAATCTGTACAGACAGACACACAGTAGCTGATTTATTCTGTACCTATAGGATAGATATGATATAAGGAATCTGTTCAGACAGACTGTGACATCAATATTTTTCAATCAACATTATTCATGCTTTTTCTCCCATTATTTGAGTAAAACTTGACAATAACATTATTTAATCAACATTATTCATGCCTGTTCTCCCATGATTTCAATAACATTTCACACCAACATTATTTAATCAACATTATTCATGGCTGTTCTCCCATTATTTGAATAAAACTTGACAATAAAATTATTTAATCAACATTATTCATGCCTGTTTTCCCATTATTTCAATAACATTTGACACCATTATTCATGCCTTTTCTCCCTCTATTTCAATAAAATTTCACACCAGCATTATTTAATCAACATTATTCGTGCCTCTTCTCCCACTATTTCAATAAATATTCACACCAATATTATTTAATCAACATTATTCTTGCCTGTTCTCCTATTATTTCAATAACATTTCACACCAACGTTATTCATGCCTATTTTCCATTAATTCAATAACATTTAACACCAACATCATTCGTGTCTGTTCTCCCGTTATTTCAATATAATTTGACACCAACATTATTCATGTCTCTTCTCCCATTATTTCAATCAAATTTGACACCAACATTATTTATGGCTTTTCTCCTATTATTTGAATAAAATTTGACACCAATATTTTTCAATCAGCATTATTTATGCCTGTTCTCCTGTTATTTCATTAAAACTTGAGAATAATATTATTTAATCAACATTATTCATGCCTCGTCTCCCTTTATTTCAATATAATTTGACAGCAACATTATTTAATCAACATTATTCATGCCTGTTCTCCCATTATTTTAATAAAATTTGACACCAATATTTTTCAATCAGTATTATTTATGCCTATTCTCCCATTATTTCAACAAAATTTCACACCAACATTATTCATATCTCTTCTCCAAGTATTTCAATAAAATTTGACACCAACATTATTTAATCAACATTATTCATGCCTCTTCTCCCTCTATTTCAATAAAATTTCACACCAATATTATTTAATCAACATTATTCTTGCCTGTTCTCCTATTATTTCAATAACATTTCACACCAACATTATTTATGTCTGTTCTCCCATTATTTCAATATAATTTGACACCTACATTATTCATGTTTGTTCTCCCGTTATTTCAATATAATTTGACATCAACATTATTCATGGCTGTTCTCCCATTATTTGAATAAAACTTGACATTAACATTATTTAATCAACACTATTCATGCCTATTTTCCCATTATTTCAATAACATTTAACACCAACATTATTCATGTCTGTTCTCCCATTATTTCAATATAATTTGACACCAACGTTATTTAAACAACATTATTCATGCCTGTTCTCCCATTATTTGAATACGATTTGACACCAACATTATTCATGTTTATTCTCCCGTTATTTCAACAAAATTTCACACCAACATTATTCATGCCTCTTCTCCCATTATTTCAATAAAATTTGACACCAACATTATTTAATCAACATTATTCATGCCTGTTCTTCCATTATTTTAACAAACTTTGACACTGTTATTTTTCAATCAACATTATTCATGCCTGTTCTCCCATTATTTCAATATAATTTGACACCAACATTATTTAATCAGCATTATTCATGCCTATACTCCCATTATTTCAATAACAGTTCACAGCAACATTATTCATGCCTGTTCTCCCATCATTTCAATAACATTTGACACCAATTCATGATTTCTTTAGGTTTGAAAGGAAGGGTGTTTATATTTGTGTTCCGTTTCCTTTGTCTTGAGTGCTTGTGTTATTTTTATGTTAATTATGCATGTTTTGATGTTCTTTTATCTTTTGTATCCTTTATAGTTTGCCATGTGTTGCTGTTGGTAGTTACAGCAAAGTGGTTTTCTGTTTTATCGTGGTCAGTATGCATTTCGTGTTCTCCCCCTGTGGGAGAGCTTTGCATTCGGCTGCCACGTGTCTGTAACATTGGCAGTTGTAAAACTGGGCTACAACTACCGCTGGTGTTTTTGTTGGTACATGTACGTGTATTCTATCTACATTGGTAAGTTTCTGTTTCTGTTTAAAAATATGAGTTCTATCTTGGTATGTGAGTTATGATTCTGTCTTCATTTGTGATACTTGTGTGTAAATCTTTCATGACAAAAGATTTAAGGTTGGGCTTGGTTCTTGATATTTGCATTATTATATTTCCTTTTGTGAAAGCGTATTGGGGTCATTCTTTTAAGAGTCGGTTGAGTTCAGCGGCTTCTGACCCTTTGACGAGGACGCCGCCCTTGGCTAGACGTTTGATGGCTGCGATGTTGATTTCAGGTGCAAGTTGTGGTTATCTATACTGGACTAGGACACTGTGCTGGATTTTGTGGTGTTGGTTTTCTTTGGTGTTACTTGTATGAAATTCTTAGTCTTTCATGTGATTCCAGAGTTTCTTGTGAGCTATGCCTGCATGTAAAGCTATCACCGTAAATGGGAGATAGACAAATGCTCGGATAGAGACCATGGTTCGCAATATATATATATACAAGATGTTCGATCTTGATAATAACGTGTATGAAGAAAGGCCTTACACAACTTTGTATAAAACAGTTTTGTGTGTATATATAGATAGCAGATCATTATATACCCTACCTGTTCTCTTTCGTTACTTAATGTTGTTCCTTCTTCACAACTGTCATAATTAGACTCATTTAATGACATTTTGTTGTTCAGCTGAAGGCTATGAATCCATTTTTGAACCTTGTCTTGTGCTCTGTCTATTTCATCATGATCTTCCTTGTTAACCAAAGGTTCTAACTTTCTTATCTTGCATGAACCGTTGTTTTTAGGTTCTTCAGGATGAACATTCTTACTTGAGTCATGATTTTCTTTTCCAGTTTCTTTTTTCTTATTATGAAAAATATTTTCAGAAATACTACTCTCCCCTCTACACAACACATAGCGAATTCATGCTTCACCTCTACAGTAATAATTTTTAGACTATAGCTCACTATCAACACAAGGGTGACACACCCAGTAATCATTTTTAGACTATAACCCACTATTAACACAAGGGTGACACACCCAGTAATCATTTTTAGACAGTAGCCCACTATCAACACAAGGGTGACACACCCAATAATCATTTTTAGACTATAGCCCACTATCAACACAAGGGTGGCACACCAAGTAATCATTTTTAGATGATAGCCCACTATCAACACAAGGGTGACACACCCAATAATCATTTTTAGACTATAGCCCACTATCAACACAAGGGTGACACATCCAGTAATCATTTTTAGACTATAGCCCACTATCAACACAAGGGTGACACATCCAGTTATCATCTTTAGACTATAGCCCACTATAAACACAAGGGTGACACATCCTCCAAGCCAAATAATCCCAATGATTTTAACTATACTAACATTGACAATGCTTGTCTTCCGACGTGTTTGTTTAGATACAAATTACTGTAATTCTTACACTTATTCTTTTAAACTTCCATTAATATTTGTAGTGTTGTCTTTCTTTCCTTAATTTTATTGATTAAGTGAAAGAACGATTGCACATTTTAAACTTTTCAATTAGAATCTTTATCCACATTATCTTCAATTTTGGATTTTCTTTTTATGAAATTATGTCTAACCCAAAATATGGATTTTGTCGAGTACTTTTCATGGTCATCATTAGGCCTATGCACCATCCACATACCCGGCCCATTTTATTTTTAAAATTAGAAGAAAAAACATCCTGGACTCTGTGATGATTTTGTCCAAAAGGACCACCACAATAGTGTCATGGATTAATTGGATTAGTAATTCATGTTTCAATGTTTCTGACAAGGCTTGTGACACACTTTCACAGTGGTTGGCTGATACCAGAGGTTTTCCATCATTACCCTAACAGCTTTATTATGGCAACTTGAACATACCATTTTTCCATTTTGCTCTCCATTTTCTCCCATTATCAGTTACCCTTGTTTCTTTGTTTCTGGGGTGTACTTTGGTTGCCTTTCTTTCTGACTTTCATGGTCATTCAATGTTTACTCCATGACCTCTCTTTCATTGTGATCTGTCTTTTTGAGATATTACTTATGCATTGGCCCTTTGAGCTAATGCAGCTCTTCAGCCTTGTGAGGTCCCCCATTATATTTTCCTTGACCTCTTGCTACTATCCATGGTCCTCCCTGTTTGTGGATTTTTGAAGCATTTTTCCTCCGAGCCGCTCATTGACTCCAATTTTATTAGAATTTTGCTCTCCCATTTTGACCAAAGGTGGACTCCCTTTGCTACAACCTAATGAGTTACTCAGATATTTTATCAGGGGCTTTCCCCATTCTTCTACTCAAAAACATACATGAGACGGTTCCTCAACTCCACTTTGGGGTTTTCTCCCATCTTTTTATAATTTCCAGGAAGATGAGAAGTTGTTGGCCAAATACTAATTTGTCTGAATTAATCCAGCTTTAGTCTTTCCTTTATGCTTGTACTTGTCCCTTCCAAAGTGGCTTCCTCTGTTGTGGCCTCCTACTTCAGTCATTTCATCTCAGTTGAGGTAAATGGTTCACCTCTCCAATTCTATCTCAACCCTCATCCCACATCTCATTCACTTGAGGGTATTTTTCACTTCGTATGTGGAGCACTATCAACACAAGGGTGATACATCCAGTAATCATCTTTAGACTATAGCCCACTATCAACTCAAGGGTGACACATCCAGTAATCATCTTTAGACTATAGCCCACTATAAACACAAGGGTGACTTCTTTATGTCTTTAAAACATAGAGCTTTTGATATTGAGACTCTCATGTCCCCTTCATATCCTGTATCAGAGGATTTGTCTTCTCTTGAGGACTCTCTTTGCTCTTAGGTCTCTTGTTATTCTAGGATGTGCTCTTATGTGTTTCCTTGTGTGGTTTCTGGCCTGTTATTTCAGGTATATCTAGGTATCTACTGTCCTTTTTTCCCTCTTTGGTGTTGTGGTGACTCACATGATCCTGTACAACATTATTCTCTCACTTTACACATCTATCTATCTCTGTGTCCTTTATCTATCTCCATGTCCTTGATATAAGTCCCCCAGTGAAAGTCTATGAAATTCAGTGCTAAAATCTGGGGTTTGATTCCCCATGGTGGACAAATCAGATAGCCCAATGTTGCTTTGATCTAAAACAAACAAGTGTTCTCAATATGATGGCTGCTCTACAGGTTTGCCAATATCCCTGTCACATCTGTATGGTATTTTATGATCACCCATTTAAAATTCTCCACTGTTGTTTCTTCAATTCCTTGACAGAGAGGCACTAACTTACAGAACGTCAGTTTTCCTGGCTCTAGACTTTTTCTTTCGGGCCCATGACCATAACATTCAATTATTAGTCTATAATGTCTTGAATGCTCAGGCCCTGGTGATGGATTGACTATCTCAACTAGGCCTGGACCCTTCCTACAGAGTGGTCTCTTTTTCATATGGCATTTTCAATGGATTTGTCCCAATATGAAAGTCTTGTCATCATCACCTTTCCGATTCCCCTCCACTCCTCACTTCCTTACATTTGGTCTTGATTCCCAGACACTACAACTCTGGCAGAGGAAGATCTGTGCTTGCAGTCGTTCAACACCTTTTCATATGCTTCAGACGTATTTCATCCCTTTCTCATTTAAGGGAACCACCTCTCTCACATTTGTTTTAGTTTCCTCCCAAACTATTTACTTCATGGACAAGCTGAACGTTTTCCTCCCCCCAATACTGGAATGGGGTGGGAGAATGACTGGATGTTTTCCTTTATACCTTACATTCTTTCTCCCCCTTATGATTGTTTTGACCCAGATCATCTACTTTGTTCTGTATGGTCTATTCCTTGTTGTCTCACTTGTACTGCCCTTTCGGGGTCCTTGCTGTGGAATTTCTCTTCCTCTGGTAATTATGTCCTTCCATCTTGCAGGTTAGACTATACACCCAATCTGACTAATTTATTATTCTAAGGGTGATGACTTTTTTGTTATTTTTCACATTTCCTTCCATATTTGTCATCACATGGTTTCTCTTGCCTCTTGATGTTATTGTCCCCTATATGTGATCTAGTAGGTGGGGATGAGGACAGCCCCCAAAACATTAGTGTCACATTACTTACATCACAAAGAAGGTTCCTCTACCGTTTGTTTCATCTCCCTCCAGTCATTATTATTCCTTCTTGACAGCGGCTCTCTGATTGTCAGCTGTTTATTCTTTTTTTACAGGTTTCAGAACCATCTTCTCAATGTATATATTACGTGGAGGTGATGGAACCCACCGAGTGACCGATATTTCCTCACTAGAAATACTTTCCTCAAAACCTACATTGAACAGGGTAATACAGACTGTGTTAAATCCATTTGCCCTTACTTAGCATCCATTGTTGAGATGGGTTTTTATACACAAAACTGTTTTCACAGTATCTACATATTTTCTCTTCCAATCTGATCTGCACTTGAGAAAAACAGGACAGTAACAGGTGTGGGACTGTCTGTGCAGCTGGCTAATACCTACTGTCTTTAGTCACGGTAACCCATTACACAGTCTATCAGTGTGCGACCTTATGTTTCCTGTTTGGCCAGAGCACATCTCTGATGTTCTCTAACACAGATTGGCCTCACTTATAGCCATAACCACACTGTACACTTGTGCACAGCTGGGAATTAATGGCTGGTTGAGAAATAATACATTTTTCTCACTTTAGTAACGCTTTAGCACCAAATAAATGATTATTTTGACAATATTTTTACACTACTACCTTTTTTGGGTGAACTGTCTCTAGATGAATGTGATTGCCCACCAAATGACACTCCATTATGCTGCCACCCTTTTTGGGGGACAAAATCCATGGGTTTACCTTTCAGATGATATATTTTAATCTGTGTAACTTATTTTTCTGCATTTGTTCCTCCACCATTTTCAAAGTGTGATTCTAACTGTTTTTTTGTGCAGAGAGGTTAGTAGCACTTATGAAGTTATTTTCCTTACAGAAATATATATTTTTGATACATACTTGCCTATCTGCACAAACTACCACCCTTTCTTTCTACTTCTAGTGCATTTAGTTTGCCTTATCAAAAAATGAGCTTTTGTTCAAATGCTAGTGTTCAAATGAGGATTACTGCTTATGGAGGATGTGTCGCCTTTATGTTGGTGGAGAGCTATACTCTAATGTAAATTACAATAGCGGGTTATACTCTAATGTAAATTACAGTGGAGAGCTATACTCTAATGTAAATTACAATAGCGGGCTATACTTTAATGTAAATTACAATGGCGGGCTATACTCTAATGTAAATTACAGTGGAGAGCTATACTCTAATGTAAACAATAAACAAACAGCACACAATCCACTGGTTTTAAAAATAATATATTCAAAATAAGTCAAACATATGCACAAAACTTTGTTACACTATTAGTTATCACAGTTGTATCCAGAGTTTTAAACAATTGCCCCTTTTTTTTGTCAAAGTCCACACAGGTGGGTTCAGAACACCCTTTGACAAAACAAGTTTTCTCCTCTCTCTTATTACAATACACGCTGCGATAGTTTCACTTTAGAAATGGCCACAATTCACTCTTTTTGGCTAAATTCACAATCACACAGTCTAACTTCATTTCTTTCACTTTTACTAACCTACTTGGTCGCCTACATATATATTGCTTGACTGAGGCCTATAATTGTCTACAAACTACGAGACATTATGATGTAACAATACTCACTTAAAGCAACCAGAAAAATTCAGAACGTTGGAGTAACATGACGTCAATTCACAACAAATGAACTACAGAATAAAAGATTCATAAACAGTTATATAAGTAAACCTGCAATAAATTATTGCTTCTTAAAATATCAAATTCAACACTCACACTTTATAACTATTTAAATCATAACTGTCATATTAGATTTAACTGAAACAGTCGTGCATATCTAACAATGTTTTATATTGATGCGCATACTTACAAAACCAAATGATACTTGTCCTTCATTTTCAAGTTGTCCTAAAAGAATATAAAACAGTCTTAAGTACATGTAGCTAGGCCTTTACACTAATCAAAGAAAAGTAAATTTCCCCCACCAGAAGAATTAAACCAGCAATTTTCATGTTTAAAAACTGGTTTCTTTGAACACACATTTCAAAATATGCCACAAAGTTATTTCCATATTATTTTTAATAACTTGAGTGTAACATATGTACGTTTAAAGCAAGTTTACACACTTCCAATAGATTACTGATAACTAAGTAGAAATCATTAGAAACTCATCCCTGACGATGTTTTCATTTTTATTCATAATACTGAAGACCATAACTTACGTTTCTGTGCAACAGCCACAATAAACTGGAGTGGATAAAGGTGACAAGCTTCTTTGTCTTGTCTAAAGTACACATATTTAGCCAGCTTCCACTGAGTATAAGCTGATGCTTTGGTCAAGTAATATGTAAAGTACATGAAAGAAGTTTGATTACTCACTATAACGTATAATGCAACTTACTAAGATGTGACTAAGTCTGAATGGAGACAACTTTAGTACTTGATTCAAACCATACATACATACATAAAACTGATAAATTTTCCAAATAAAAAAGGACTTCTACTATTTTCAAATATATGAAAAACATAATACTTAAACTAGAAGGATACTTATACGAAAAGAAAAGGCTGTGCCGTTGATTCTAAAGTTTATTGGGAATTGTTCAAAAGGAACACAGTATGTTAAGTACAGAAGACTTCTTATCACAGACTGAAAGAAAATGGAAAATAACAGTTACTTCAAAAACAATGACAACAACAAACACAAACACATATTTCTACAAATAATAACTTCAGCATCTATATAAATTTACTGTTATGAAATAGCACTTTTAATAACTGTACCAGTTTTATCTTTCTACAAAAAGAATATCTAGGCATTACTAGATCAGATCCTTTTCTTCATTTCACATAATATCTAAGCATTACTGGGTTGTGATTGGACCCTCTTCTTCATTTCACATAACATCTAAGCATTACTGGGTTGTAATTTGACCCATTTCTTCATTTCACATAATATCTAAGCATTACCGGGTTGTGATTGGACCCTCTTCTTCATTTCACATAATATCTAAGCATTACTGGGTTGTAATTTGACCCTCTTCTTCATTTCACATAATATCTAAGCATTACTGGGTTGTAATTTGACCCTCTTCTTCATCTCACATAATATCTAGGAATTACTGGGTTGTGATTGGACCCTCTTCTTCATTTCACAAGATATCTAGTTGTTACTGGGTTGTAATTTGACCCTCTTCTTCATTTCACATAATATCTAGGCATTACTGGGTTGTAATTGGACCCTCTTCATCATTTCACATAATATCTAGGCATTACTGGGTTGTGATTAGACCCTTTTTTTCATTTCACATAATATCTAAGCATTACTGGGTTGTGATTGGACCCTCTTCTTCATTTCACATAATATCTAGGCATTACTGGGTTGTGATTCGACCCTCTTCTTCTATTCACATAACATCCAGGCATTACTGGGTTGTGATTGGACCCTCTTCTATATTTCACAGATTATCTAGGCATTACTGGGTTGTGATTGAACCTTCTTATCATTACATAGAAAGAAGCAACAAAGAGGGAGGAGACACTGCAAGTACAATAAGAGCACAAAGTGAGATTGCCAAGCTCACCCAACAGAAATATGAATGACCTAAGAATGACAATGGGGTCAGGGGCCAGCCGACCTGAGCTGCCCGAATTTCCTAAAATTTTAAAGGGACAAAAATGAGCTTATTAACCCATCATGGATGTCCCTTCCAGCACCCAATGAAAACGATCCATTACTACTCATGTATTCATCCAATATTTTCTTGAGCTCAGCTAAATTTTCTTCCTCCACCACCCTTGAAGGCAGCTTATTCCAAAAGCTAACCACTGAGTTTGAAAAGTAATACTGCCTAAACTGCAGACAGCTCCTACGCTCCCAAAATTTGAATTTATGACCCCTTGTCATATTGTTTTTGCTGCAAAACACAAAAAACACCTCAATCAAATCCCCTCTAACCATTCTCCTCTCCAATGAAAACAAGTTTAGAGATTTTAGTCTCTCCTCATAGGACAATCCCACCATCCCAGGTATCATCCTAGTGGCTCTTCTTTGATCCTTCTCCAACAATTCGATGTCCTTCTTGAGAAAGGGAGCCCAAAACTGTACACAATATTCTAAATGAGGCCTTATCCCTTGTCTTGTATTCAATATACAATACACTGTTTGTATAACTTAAGTGATTTTTCAGTCACAACACCATGATCTTTTTCTTCAACCACAGTATTGAATGTATTCCCATTTAAATTGTAACAGTAATTTGAATTGTGAAAACCTACATGCATTACCTTACATTTTGGATAGTTAAACATCATCTGCCACGTATTGACCCAATGCATCAAATGATCTAAATCTCCCTGTAAGTCTGCAGTATCTTTGACACAGTTAGCTCTGAGGCACACCACTTGTAACAGTAATCCAGTCAGATGTAAGTCCATTTATTACCACTCTCTACTTTCTACTCTCCAGCCAATTTTCAATCCAATTTAATAACATTTCCCCCACACCAACAGATTTAATTTTTGTAACAAGTCTTTTGTGAGGCACCTTATCGAATGCCTTCTGAAAATCAAGGTAAACCAAATCCACATTATTTCCTTCATCAACTCTTGTAGTAAGATCCTTAAAGAATGTCAGAAGATTTGTTAAACAAGACTTTCCCTTAGTGAAACTATGCTGGCTCTTTGACAAAACTGCTTTAAGTGACTCTGCAATGCATCTTTAATCACACTCTCCAAAACCTTTCCAACTACTGATGTAAGACTAACTGGCCTATAATTGCATGGACAATGATTATCACCTCCTTTAAATATTGGACTAACATTAGCCAACTTCCAATCTTCTAATACTCTTCCACTACTCAATGACCTATAAAAAATATTAGTTAGTGGTTCTTTCAAAACTCTTGGATAAACGTTGTCTGGGCCAGGGGATTTATAGGTTTCCCAACTTTTCTCATACAATTGATGAACAGAAAGATGACACATATACTTTCCTGTAGAGGTATGAAAGATTTGCCCACAGAATTGGAACAAACGTGACTTTAAATATATTCTACAAAAAATTTAAAGGCACATATTTTTTTTTGTATATTTCCTAATTTCAATTAGTTCATTGTACTGTACATTGATGATAATAGATAGAGTTAGTGATATGGTAGAGAAAATGAAAAATAAAATATATACATTTACCTTAAAAAACTTTTGATATCCTTTTAGGAGGTTCTAGAAATTATGCAAATGAAATGTGAATACTATAAGAGAAGAAAAGTATTTTTATGCTTAAAATGAAAATCACCTTTCACTCAATTTGTTAATAATTTGAATGCTGGTAACTACAATAGAAAAATATAATATTTTTAGTAAAACACTTAATTATAAGAACTTCATTCTTTGTGTAAAAGATTCTTATGATCTTTAACAAAATCTTTCAGTTTTTGAGAGGATACATTAAGAAATCTCAGAGTTATTGCATGTATTGTTCAAGGAGTGAAACTCGTGACTTGATTTCCTCAAATTGCACAAGCTCACCGCAAAAGGGTTAAACAGAGCATGACTAATGGTCAGCTCAAGTTATCAGCAATTGGATCAACATTGCCAGTAGGTTTTGGAGCATGTGATAAATATTGAGAGGTGCCAGTAGGTGAAGGCTATGTTGGGGAGAAGAAAGTAAAGGTCTTACGAGACACTGGGTGCAGTAGTGCAGCAGTAAGTTTCCCATAGCAAGAATAAAGTTGGATACTCCATACTAAATGGGAGGCCTTGGCACCATATGTATGAAGGCACCAATCTAAGATTTGGTGATTGGAAATATACCTCGCAGTAGAAGTTTGGAGGAACCAGACAGAAAGGAGACAGATGAGGCATCTGCAGTAGTTGTGTAATTTTGTGCTTAATAACAAACAACAACAATCAAAATATTAGTATTTTATAACTGGTGTTGTACTTCATTTTAAAGAATGTTTTGGTTACTATGATATATTTGGCCTCTCTTACTAATTAAGTTATACATTGATTTACAAGGAATTAAAGTTTATAAATATTTCCCACAGTCAGTACATCAACGGCAATGTCTTTAATTAAGCATACTCAAATATCACTAACACATTTATGTGAATTGAAGCTTCAAAATATAGAATATAGTTAACAAAATCTTACTTGGTAATCATTTTTGAAGGTGCTATCTTCAGTAATTGAACTGTAAGTAAAATGATGAGATATGAAATATAAATTTATATTGATGTTCTTGGGTGCCTTAAAAATATATTATAATCACACAGAATTAAGCTGCTCAATTAGGACTACATCTTACAGTTTTGTAATGTTAACACCAGATCTGAATGTACTGTTAACCTATGCATATATTTTATACTTTTGTAATGTTAACACCAGATCTGAATAACTACATGCAACCTATACATATATTTTACACTTTTGTAATATTAACTCCACATCTGAATGAACATATTAATATATATATATATATATACAATTTTGTAATATTAACACCAGATCTGAATAACTGCAACCTATACATATATTTTACACTTTTGTAATATTAACTCCACATCTGAATGAACATATTAATATATACATATATTTTACACTATTGTAATGATAACACCAGATCTGGATGAATTGCTAACCTATACATATATTTTATAATATTAACAACAGATCTGAATTTACTATTATCCTATATATGTATTTTACAATTTTGTAATACACAAGATCTGAATGTACCAAGCCTACCACAATGGTGGGATGTCTGACAGGCTCAAAACTGCAAAACAAACTTTGGTGAGTGGACAGAGGTTGAATGTGCCACTTACAAGTGTATTTTGCTAGTTAAAGTTGTCTTCCTAACAAGTGAGGCAACAGGCTCCCATGGATAAAGATGTAAGCCACCAATGGATAAGAAGAGGACTCCTGTTGAGTCAATGGATGTTCCTGACAACTGAGGTTGAGTAAGGCTGCCAAGGAGCTACCACAGGCAGTTGACTGCTCTGAAACACAGAGCAACCACCAACTGGGGGTTTGGACTGACTATTAGTGTATAGGATCCAAGAAGAGCTGAAAATTTATGCCTGGTATCTTCCAGGGTCAGCCTGAGAGGGACATGCTTTGGCCCATCATGCTGGGTCTAGTAGCTGACAGTGAATGAGGATTGAATTAGTTCCTACTTTGTCTCAGGCAGGTGACAGCCTGAAATGAATATATTTTGGAACAGGTTTTTCAATACTTGGTCCTGAGTGTCAATGGTTCAGCTCACAATGCCATTGTCCACTTGGATGAAACACAGCTAAATAACTAGATAACCGTTGTGGACAAGCTGTGCTGCTGATTCAAGCTTTACTTAAAATAAGGGACTGTCATGTCATTCATTGTGGATATGCTCACTATGTTTTACTTAAAGTAAAGGTCTGTCTCACTATGTTTTACTTAAAGTAAAGGTCTGTCGTGTCATTCATTGTGAATACGCTCACTATGTTTTATTTAAAGTAAAGGTCTGTCAACTCACTATGTTTTACTTAAAATAAAGGACTGTCATCTCATTCATTGTGAATACGCTCACTGTGTTTTACTTAAAGTAAAGGACTGTCATCTCATTCATTGTGAATACGCTCACTGTGTTTTACTTAAAGTAAAGGACTGTCAACTCATTATGTTTTACTTAAAATAAACGACTGTCATCTCACTATGTTTTACTTAAAATAATGGACTGTCATCTCACTATGTTTTACTTAAAATAAAGGACTGTCATCTCATTCATTGTGGATACGCTCACTATGTTTTACTTAAAGTAAAGGACTGTCATGTCATTCATTGTGGATACGCTCACTATGTTTTACTTAAAGTAAAGGACTGTCATGTCATTCACTGTGGATAAGCTCACTATGTTTTACTTAAAAAACTGTCATGTCATTCATTGTGGATACGCTCACTATGTTTTACTTAAAGTAAAGGACTGTCATCTCATTCATTGTGAATACGCTCACTATGTTTTACTTAAAGTAAAGGACTGTCATCTCACTATGTTTTATTTAAAATAACGGACTGTCATCTCACTATGTTTTATTTAAAATAACGGACTGTTATCTCACTATGTTTTACTTAAAGTAAAGGACTGTCACCTCATTATGTTTTACTTAAAATAAAAATTCTCTGAAAAATGTCCAGACTCGACTCGTCATTGTTCACCCAAAAGAGAGAGACTCAGTCAAACTATGTTGATCCCCAAAATCGTCGTAAATTTCTTGGACGAAATCTGCCATTATTGTGGCATAATACATCTCACACTTTACAGGGAAATTGGTTTTAAATGAAAATACTACCTTATATTTTAAACTTTCTGAATGAAGACAACATTGTCCATATATCTTTCAGAATGTACTGTTAATACTGTATATATATATATATATTGTTACGTCTCTGTTTGTTAGTTAATTTTCCGTAACTTCGTTCCGACAAAACTTTAGCGACATAAGTCCTTTCTTAAATAAAACTGGTTTTATTCTTTCTGAATATAACTTTGCGATACACTTAATTTCAACAGTCGCGCTATAATTCTCAACGATCTTCTCACGTGCTTAACAATATTCTCTCTGACTGCAGTTCAATTACTCATTATACTGTTGTTGTGACCATCTTATATATACCAGCCTACCCCAATCTAGTAGTCTCCCGATAATTCACGAAGGTTCGAGAGAAGGACGCGGCGTGATATTAGTCACGTGACTTCGCTGACGCAACACTGCCCCCTCCTTAGTATTGTTCGTCCCGAACAATACCCACTTACATTAAACCAATAACAATTAACAATAACTTAATTAAATGTACAGAATTACAAACACAAAATTACAATTCAACAAAGTCTCTTAATTTTACGGGACGTATCTTCTTCTGTACTGGTCTCCGTCTCGTTGGCTTCTGCTTCACATGGGGTTCATCTGCTCTATCAGGAAATGTTCCATTATCGGTAACAGTCACATCAGCGGTAGTAACTTCATTAATGGCTTCACCGTTTCCCTTCTCAAAACTGAGTAGAGTTTCTTCTTCAACGGTGGCTTCAGGTGGCACGTCTTCAGCAGCATCATTTGTTCTGTTGTCCACTTCATCCCAACTGAAATGTCCTGGACCATGGTAACGCCAAAGCCTGTTGGCATGCACCACTTTTGGCTTACCTCGCCGACCACATTTTATCCAGAAAGTCACGTCTGAGAGATGGTCCACTGTGTCATATGGGCCTTCCCATGGAGAAGACAACTTAGGAGACTTCCCTTTGGTCTTCCTGGGATTATATAACCATACCTTGTGTCCTGGTACAAAGCTGACTTCAGCAGATCTCTTATCATAAGTTAACTTCATCGAATCAGCAGACGTTTTCAAGTTTGAATGCACTTGATGGTGAATATCATCCATCCTTTCCGATAACGCTTTCACAAACTCTGGCATATTCTCAGGCAACTCCTCATAAGGTGGGCATTCCTTATGCTTGGGTCCCTTTTTAGCACTACA